TCACATTTTTGATTCAATTGTGAATTTACAATAAAACGACTAGCCGAAAGCACATCGTCGCGTCGTCGATAACCAGATAGACACAAGCGTCTCTCGCATAATAAAATTTATGTCCGGACTTCACAAGTATCCTATTGTGCATGAAATACACTATAATGTCAAGCAGTCGAAAAGATACACGAGTTTATTGATGTTGTTAATTATTAGAGCTCATATGACGTACGGTATGGCCATGTCAAACATTTATGCTGAAATCATGAATTCTGGCTTTATGAACGAAGCTCACTGCCATGGTGTTAAAAGTATTCCTCAGGAATGACTCCAGAGCCGCGAAAGTCTCTTACATGGCTGAGGAAGATAACATGCAGCATATCGTCCTCTAGATTTTAAGATTCGGGTATGTCTCAACAGCTTCTCTGGCGCTTCATATGAGAACAAGTGCTTATTGACCCAACACGTTAGAAGTCTAAGCATATTACAACCGCAACAGAAGATTGCTAGCCATCGTGATATAAGGTATAGGGGCGCACAACGGCATATGTAATAAACTTCTTCGAAATACATCCATCTGCTGCAAAAATAAATTCAATAACGGCTACCGGCCATACTGGATGTATGTGTTGTAGATCGTTAGGTATTGTAGTAGATGGGCGTGAATGAATATGGCATTGTCGAACTGTATGATGGCGGATTGTGATTTCGTTCGGATTGACGGATGCAGAGTTTTCTTTTGATAACGATGTCCGTGTTGAGAAAAGCAGCAGAAGACATCCTCTGTTTGTTCATTTAGAACGGATTTAAGAGCTGCGGTGGTGGCGGCTGGAACGGAAATGTGTTTGTTTGCCTCTAATTGTATAACATGATTATCATGTAGATTGGCCAGCACTTCGTCTTGAAGAAGTGGCTTAGACTTGCCTAGTACTTGCACATCTAAAGGGCAAACGATACCGACATTGCGTGACTAATCTCCATTTCTAATAGATCTTAAATGACAGTTGCTTCATTGGGCGACATGCATGAAAAGCCCGCAAAGATAAACGCCATCATTAAAGGCGGCCCTTAAGGCAGTGAGAAAAAGCCCCTTGGCTATTCCAAATTAAGATCGGCCATTCCATGGGCTGATATTGGAAATAGTTTTCTTCAATCGATGGGGATTATTAAAAGAAGGCTGGTTGGCTCTGACGCTGGAGTGAGGTCGTAAGCATAGTTGTGGAAGAGAACATGGACTGCAGCATATCCTCCGCTGGCTTTTTATCCGCGGGTATTTCCATTGAGATCTTAACAACTCTGTCAGAAAGTCAAACGGGATTGTGGAAGCCAACAATTTAACCAGAATGATGTCGTCAAAAGTAAAAAAAAGATGTTTTCTGCATCGATAGACGTAATTGAGTATCCACAACAGCGCAGAACTGTCTGACTTATCTGACTCATGCAAACATATACTAAATTTGGAAAACACAAGATTTGGGCGAATCTTTTTGCGTAAGAGATGATCCGTGCGCCAAGTCCACCGTATGCCAATCAATTCGTCCAGCATGCTCTCAACTTCTTGTTTTAAAATAACTTCCAGAAACTCTTGTAATGGAATCATCCTATTCCGAAAAGTGTGTGCGTAGCGCCTTCAAAAATCGAGCCTAGCGCAATGGGCTGTCACTTTTCGCAAGTCTCCAGTACCACGTGAAGTATTCAAGCCACGCCAAAACAGTTGATCCGTGACTTTAATGTCCACATGTCCACAGCCTTGAGCCCAAAAAAATTTTCAAAAATCTTTTCAAGGGAACCCTCGTTTTCTATCTATTGACTAAACACCAAGGCTTGAATGTATAATCCAATACCATGGTTCATTGCACATCACTCACGAATTCTGGGATGCCTTGAAGGTTATGAAACGTATCCATTACGTCTTTTGCCACAAATGGCTGTGTTTTTACATCTTGCGTCAAAAAGGCTAGCAGCTTTGTGTAATTTCTCAATACTGTCAACCAAAATGGAGAAAGACCTGTAGGCTTGCACATTTCTTAACCTAATAATAGCTTTTTTCAAGCTCAGCAATTAAATTTCTTCTAATCGTGTCTCCGGGATTATTGGAATGGGATGCTATATCGATCGACTGAGGTTGCGCGAATTGATAAGCAGACGATGATTCCATTCGAGGCTTCTTCACGGCGGGAGCTTCGTGTATCAACTCGTCAACTCTATCCATCAAATTTGTTGGAAGTTTTGGCCACTCTAACATCAACTTCTCGAGCATACTATCACCTTGCACTCTTGCTTCGTACCCTTTGTCGTCAAGATGGGCCTCATTCTTTACAGCACTTAAGCAATAGTTACGTGACCTTTTTAAACATTTTTGAGTTTTTTTTTGCAAATTGCGTTTTGTTGCAATGATGTCGTAAGTACAAACGGGAAAAGTTACTTTTTTATTGTTATGAATATTTAGCGAGGATCCTTATGTATCGGACGATTAAATTTTAGATGTTTCCGCATTTTATTTTTATTGTACATTTACAATAAAACAAAAAATTTTGCTAGCAAGCACATTGTCACGTTGCCGATAACCAGATAGACAAAAGCGTCTCTCGCATTATGAAATTGGTGTCCAGGCTTTTCAAGTATCATATACACTATACTGTCACGCAATCAAAAAGATTAACAAGTTTGTGATGTTGTCAAGAATTATCACCTTTGTAATTTGGAAAGCAATTATTAGAGCACAAATGGTGTACTGTAAGGCCATGCCAAACATTCGTTTATCGTATACACATGATTCTGGCCAAATCGACAAAGCTGGTGTAATATATACACTGCCACGGTGTCAGTAGTATTTTGCAGGGATGACTTCGGATGCCGCTTGGTGAGATACACCAATGAATACTGGTTGGACAGACAAAAGACGTCATAGGGATACGGTACGTGCCTGGCCAAGATTACGGACGCATTGATTACGAACGACAATATTAGAAGGGATTGCTGACGCAACGGCAGTCGCTGATAGGTTTAAGATAAATCAGGATCTATAAAGTGAGCCTAGTATATATAAAATGAGTGGCTTAGCGGTTTGCGAACTAAGGTCCTAAAATATATTCACTTCATATTTACTTTCCTCTACGAGCTTCTTCAAAGCCAACAGATGACAGCCGCTAGAAAATTCTTTAGCCCCACGCACTACACGATGTTTGTTACTTCCATTCGAAATTCGC